TATTTATATAAATTTGTTAATCAACCCACAGTGGTTAGTCGTCGTCACCTCCTTTGCTGATGCATCCTTAAAAGGTGGTGGCCTACTGCGCCGACTGCCCCGTACACAAAAATATTGTATAAATATATATACATATATACGTATATAACGCTATATAGATATATTCATAATTTTTTATAAGTATTGTATTTTTAGACCAACACATTTGTTGTGGTATCATCAAATTGGCATCTTTTTGTTGTTGCTGGCCAACACAACACAATTCAATCAGCTGCTTATGTGTGTGTGTGTGTGTRTGCGTGTATGTACGTATATAGAGTGAAGCGGTCGGGCGATCTGCTTGACTGAATGAGTTTTTCTTCATATATATTCATTGAATTATAAAATAGTATTCGATTTAGAATGAATTGAATATATACAAAAATATAAATACTTGAAACCTTGGGGAAACTAGCCTGCAATTAATTATGAAATAATTGTTCATTAAATTGTTATAGTTTATTGAATATGCATAGTTAACGAACATAGTTTTTAAATGACTTAGCAAATATACATCACTATGAGTACAGCCTTAAGATGCCACACTGAGTAAACAATAAATATTTGAATAAATTTATAAACATAATTAATCAATTTCTCAAAATGCGAACGAACAGCATTCAATCATCTTTGAGCTACAGTAGAGCTTAACTCTACCACCATTAATAATAGGGTATTAGCACGTCGTCTAGTCTCTAGTGTCGACTGTTTGCACCTGTATTATCTAGCCAAACACGCAGAGCAGCCAACTTAAAAAATATGTAAAAATTAAGAATTGAAAAATTCTTTTATAAATAGAATTCCATTCGTATCTGCGCGTCAGCGTCAAAGAATCTTATGCAAAAACGTGAGAGCACACGATATTTGATTTTTTTTTCTCATTTTCCTTTAAAAATAACATCAACAAAAAACCGAAAACGAAGAAAAAAAAACGCTCAAGATTTAGTGTAAACAACAAACATACGAGTTAATAATGAGCTACTAGAATATGAAGCTGCCGAACAAATTATCGAAATATTTTCCTATTTTTACATTATTAATTATATATATAGTTCAATAATTTTTCAACTTGTAATTTCCTACATGTAGAAGGCGAAAACTATTAACAATTTTCGACTTGCATATTTATGATCCCGAAACATCAACCTACATCTCCACCCGCCCACCGCCATATACCCTACACCCTCTAAGATACACCCACATGCAAACGCCCAACGAATTGTAGCACAGAATATTTTCGATACTTAAATATTTTGTTTTGTTTTGAAATTCTTTTTTTTTTCTAATTACGAGTGCCCCAACGAGAGAGACAGCGGGAGAGCAACACAGAGAGGGAGAGAGGTACAGAACGAGAGAGAGAGAGAGAGAGAGAGAGTTCCAAGCATCCCCATGTATGGATTGGACCAACGTGCAAATGTTGATTAAAAATTAGACAAAACAAAAAATTATATATATACGCCTACGACGCCTCCACGGAGGATCGACTCTATACATCTGTGTGTGCGTGCGTGTGCGTGTGTTTGTGCATTTGTGTGTGAATAATTTTTGTTTACTCTATGCTCAGCGACGGCTGCTTTGGCCTCTCTACAAAAAATATGAAAGAAAAAAAAAAAAAACAGAGTATTTTTAAAAGATATTCGAAATTTCCCCTTTAGCGAAATGTGCATCCATGTGCTGCATATGTCTGTCCATATGTGCAACTGTGTGTGTATCTCTTGCGCTCGTATGCGTGTGAAAAATCTGCTCGACTGAGGGTCGCTCGAATGGTATAAATATTAGCTCATTACAATCCAGCAGCCACTCGCAGTTCTACAGCGAAAGTGTTGATATACAATTTACAGTTCTTTTTTTCTTTCTTAAACGGTTAGTGAAATTATTTAAAATAAAAATAGTCCATTTTTGTAATCATTAAAAATTGATTCATAATAAAACAGTTGAGTTTTTAAAATTAAAAAAAAAAAATTTGTCCTTTTGACTTCAACTTATCTAATCGTACGCCTTCTGCTCTCCCCTGCAGTAAGACAGATTAATCGCCAGGATGTGTGATGATGAAGTTGCCGCATTGGTCGTGGACAATGGTTCCGGTATGTGCAAGGCTGGCTTTGCCGGCGACGATGCGCCCCGCGCCGTCTTCCCATCGATTGTAGGCCGTCCACGCCATCAGGGCGTTATGGTTGGCATGGGTCAGAAGGATTCCTATGTGGGCGATGAGGCGCAGTCCAAGAGAGGTATCCTCACTCTGAAATATCCCATCGAGCACGGCATCATCACCAACTGGGATGATATGGAGAAGATCTGGCATCACACTTTCTACAATGAATTGCGTGTCGCACCCGAGGAGCACCCAGTGCTGCTCACTGAGGCGCCGCTCAACCCCAAGGCCAATCGCGAGAAGATGACCCAGATCATGTTTGAGACATTCAACGCTCCCGCCATGTATGTGGCCATCCAGGCTGTGCTCTCCCTGTACGCCTCCGGCCGTACCACCGGCATTGTGCTGGACTCTGGCGATGGCGTCTCCCACACCGTGCCCATCTATGAAGGTTATGCCCTGCCCCATGCCATTCTGCGTCTGGACTTGGCCGGCCGCGACTTGACCGACTATCTGATGAAGATCCTCACCGAGCGTGGCTACTCGTTCACCACCACGGCTGAGCGTGAAATCGTGCGTGATATCAAGGAGAAGCTGTGCTATGTTGCCCTGGACTTTGAGCAGGAGATGGCCACCGCTGCTGCATCCACATCTCTGGAGAAGTCATACGAGTTGCCCGATGGACAGGTCATTACCATTGGCAACGAGCGCTTCCGCTGCCCCGAATCTCTGTTCCAGCCCTCGTTCTTGGGCATGGAATCGTGCGGCATCCACGAGACCGTTTACAACTCGATCATGAAGTGCGACGTGGATATCCGTAAGGATCTGTATGCCAACATTGTCATGTCCGGCGGCACCACCATGTACCCAGGTATTGCCGATCGTATGCAAAAGGAAATCACTGCCCTCGCTCCATCCACCATCAAGATTAAGATCATCGCCCCACCTGAGCGCAAATACTCTGTCTGGATCGGTGGCTCCATCTTGGCCTCCCTCTCGACCTTCCAGCAGATGTGGATCTCCAAGCAGGAGTACGATGAGTCCGGCCCCGGCATTGTGCACCGCAAGTGCTTCTAAGCAGCACAGCCAACACACACACACGCACACAACACATCACAGCACAACACAAGCAAAACCAAACAAACACAAAAACAAAAATCGGCGTCGCTTACCCGGCGCCTAGAGCTTAATAACGATTAATTTTAAGTTAAACCTCTTGCTGCCCTGCCAACCAGACGGACATAGAAACCAATTGATCGCTCAATCGGCCAGCAATGAAATGTATTATATTTATATTAATATTTATTGGACGTGTAGCTCCGATGACGAATGGAGAAATCGAGAAGAAAAGAACTATCTAAATTTAACAGTTTACAAATAAATAATAGCATCCATTTTAAATTAAATGCAAAAATCTTGTTCATGGATTTCTTTTCTCGATCTTTTCTGTACATTGGTTCTATATTTAGCTCACGCAGGAAATTACGGTAATTTCGCACATCCACCCCCAACCATAGTATAAGGTGTAGCTAATGCACACTATATCTAGCTATGGATATACACATATGTATGTGTATATATATCAGGCGATATATTTGCGTTGCTGTTCCAAAGTACACACACACACACACACACATGCATAATTCAGGCAGATGCAACTGTTCGTTCGCCCCCCTCGTCGACGAGGGCTAAAAATAATATTCTGTGAATATAACATGCAACAACAGAAACAACATTACGATGTTTGTCTTGAAAATAAAATTCATGCAGACATTGGGCGTCGTCGTTTGGAAACAACATTAAACAGTGCCTGCCGGCTGTCTTCTAATTGCAGTGCCATGGTGCGACCCTCGGCTGCTGCGAAAATGTCTTGGAATTTCAAGTACACACACACACACACACGTACACACATTTATGTGTGTGTGTGTGCGCACTTGAACATTACAGGTCATATGGCAGCTGGTGGCTTCCTGGAATGGCCTGCCTAATTGAAAAAACAAGCCCAAAATACTATTTCCGTATATGCACATTTATTAAACATTTAATTATAAAAATGCATTTGTTTTTCTTTTTTCTTTTCAAAGTTGTATACAAAAAATGAAATGCTCGCTTTGCACTTAACAA